GGGGGGGGAAACATCTGGATTAGCTTCATTGGCTTTCCTGCTTCTTTTGCATCCCAAAGCATAAGCTTAAATCGGCTCAGAAGGACAAGGTCCGCCAGTTTATGGCAGTTACCCAGGCTGGTGAAAGGACTGCTATATACTGCTTAATGCAGAATGAGTGGAAACTAGAAGTGGCAACAGACAACTACTTCCAGAATCCAGACTTGTACTACAAAGAATCCATGAAAATTTCAATAGACAGAAAGAAATTAGAACAATTGTATAACAGGTACAAAGGTAAGGTTTCTTTCTTCACTTTTTCCTTTGAGCTTGATTTCCACTTCAGTTTACACATCTAGGGGGAAAGCGGTTACAGTTCTACTATATTTACTGAACATAGTGGGACTTAGTTCTAGGTACGCATGAATAGTATCAAATTATAAACATGAATATAGTGATACTACTATATGTATGTTTGTGTATGTGTGTTTAGGTAGTATAATTAAATGTAAAGCTGTTTCTCTTTAAAGAAAATATATGTACAGAAGTTAATATATAAACATCTGGGCACTCATACAGGTAGTCCTCGACTTACAACCACAATTGAACCCAAAAATTCTATTGCTAAGTGAGTTTTGACCCATTTTACAACCTTTCTTGCCATAGATATTATGCAATTCACTGTAGTTGTTAAGTTAGTCACACAAGTATTTAGTGAATCTGGCTTCACCATTTACTTTGCTTGGCAGAAGTTTGCAAAAGGGGATCAAATACCCCAAAACATTGCGACCATTATAAATATGAGCCAGTTGCCAAGTGTCTGAATTTTGGTCACATGATGATAAGGATGCTGCAACAGTCATAAGTGTAAAAAATGATCCTAAGTCACTTTTTTTCAGTGCTATTGTAACTTCAAATGATTACTAATTGAACTGTTGTGAATCGAGAACTACCTGTACATTAAGGAGAGCAGACTAACCATATATTTTGGGTGGATCTGAGCTGTTCTGTAAAGGATCTGCATTGTCGCTGTGGTATAATTAAATTATATTATTGTATTCCGCCTCCTGTTCAATATCACCTGTTTATTCTACGTGTTTAAATTGGATTATCTTGAAAGTGTGAATGCAGCTTAAACTTGTTACACTATTTTTATTGAATATTCCCAAAGATGTAATGTCCATATGTGCATTATTGTTAAAATTGAGCAGTACATTCTACAAAAAGCATTGCTGAGAGAATTAACGTACAGCATTCTACCAGACTAGATCCAGCAAGGATCTATTTATAATTTTTCTTAATTTAAATAAAGATAAATATGTTTGTTAATAAGTATTCTCTTAAAGTATTCTAGTCCAGGTAAAAAAAAAATAATAATTTCTTGTATGGATGTTCTGAAATATGAAATTATGTTCAACTATAAGACTGTCTCTGAGGTTAGAAACTTTATTGAAACTCCTTTGTTAATTCTGCTTTTGAATTCATATTGCTGTAAACATTTTAGAAAACAATCCAGTTATCTCAGAGACAATAAAGTGGTTACAAAGAATAAATCATAAATGGAATTTTTATGTTTTTTATTATGTGCCGGTCATGGGCTATAATTGGATTGATGGGATGATTAACAGCCAGTCAGTTTTTCTCTGCCCTGTCTATTTCACAAGATTAAATCAAGGACTACCTATATATAAAAGGGGGGGGGGGGCGACCTGCAGTTATCTTTTTGAATTAGTCATAATCCTTGTTTGTGATTCTAGTTCTTTTTTATTAGAATGGATTTCTATGTATATTTCTGAGAAAATAAAAAAGGCTTTATTTAATTTTTGTCATATTTCTTAAGAACAAGCTTCTTTTGGCTTTCCGTCCTTTGTATTTCCTTCCATGTGCACTACTTCTGCTTTGGAAAGTCTGTTTACTCTGAAATTGATTTGGAGATGCAATAAGTGGGAAAGGATGAATATTACTTTCCACCGATGGATCTTAAATTACAATCTTAAATCTCCAATAAGAAGATAAAAGTAATGAGAATGTGTTCATTAGTATTAGTAAATTTAGTTCTTTGGTAAGATATATTTTTTTAAAAAAGCGTTAATGTCAAACTTCATAAAGGCACTTCATATATATGTGTTCGATAGTGGAGGAAAGGACACCGATGGACTGTAGGAAATTGTGCTAATAGGTGATTTCTGTGAACAGAAAATGAAAACAAACTAGATTCAATATACCAAAGTTAACAATCCTGTCAAAGCAATCCTAGTTTTTTTTCTGCAGTTTGTGCCTAAGGTGAGTTCTAGTCTCACCTTAGGCATGAAAGCCAGCTGGGTGATTTGGGTCTAGTTGCTCCCTCTTGACCCAACCTACTTCATAAGCTTTTGTGGAGAAAATAGTAGGACAACAAGATATGTATATTCCATCACTTTGACTTATTTATAATGTAATAAAGGCAGGATAAAAGTCAAATAAATAAATGGGTAGATGTACACTTGCTCTTTAAAGCTACAACTCTTATCTTAAATGTTAAGTGCTACACAGGTATGCGTCTTTAGTGATTCAAGGTCCTTTGACATAGTCCAATATAGGTTTTTACAAAATCCCAAGAACTTTAATCCTTACCGGAAACTGTTATGTTCTCATTAGAGGCACATTTGCTTACATTTGCTACTAGCTTAAACTTTTGTTTAGCACTGATTCGTTGGCCCTATTAATTCTCTTTGAAAACATTTATCAAGGTAGGAAATAAAAATTGTAGTTGGTCCAGGCTATTGCAGCCTTTCTCTGTTTTCTTTGCTGTTCCTAGAATTAGAGCTAAATTTCAGATCTGTAAAGGAATTTTTGCCGTTTCATGGCAGGAGGATTTGGGTATTGTAGCCAATTCTCATTGCTGGTTCCAACACAAGCTATTCATTCAATCTTGTTTGACCAATAAGCTGAAAGGCTTTTTCTTTGCCTCATTTCAACATTTTACCCTCTATAGTACAAGGTTAGAAGTGTAAAGCAGGATTCCATTCACCAAAAGAAATTGTCTTTATGGTCTGAATGAACCTGAGACACTAAGTCATAAATGTTTCCTTTCCCATTTCTACAGGAATTTGACTGCAGATACACCTTTAACATACACTAACAAAAAATAAAATCTGTTATGATGGTTCCTTCCTTACTCTCAGATCAGAATGTTTCTATCACCAATATAATTACTAAGTAGTTACCTACAGCAGTTTTTGTAAAAAGATGTAAAATGGCTTAAATTTGGAGAAGTGATATTATTAAATTGTACGTTTTCGTTTAGTTTATTCTAATGAATTTTACATATATTTTATTTAATCCACTTCGTTAACCTTTTTTACATCATAACTTTTTAGGTCACATATGACTGACACATTGCTTTTGTTATATTTGGTCTTCTTTTATCTTGCTGGTCATTGAGCATAATTAAATAATATGTGTAGATGTTTACCCTTATCTAATGCTTTGATGCAATTGTTAGTGTATTATTTTAACAAAACTGATTTCTCAGAGCATTGCAAATGGTTTTCTTTGCATTCCCAGGCCATCTCCTGCCAATTACATCTTGCAATTTGGTATTCTTTAAAACTTCAGTGCCATAGAATTTTATTTTTTTTATTAACACAGGAGTAAAAAAATTGAAAATGTTAAGACCTTTTCTTATAAGCATATGGCTACTCCGATTGTTTTGAGACAAAAGGTAGTCAGGCACATTCTGACTTACCAGAATCTCGAAGACAGGGGTGTCAAACTCATGTCGGCATGATGGCATCACGTGATGTATTGGGATTTTTTTCTCCTTTGCTAAACCAGGCATGGGCATGGCCAGCGCTTGACACATCCAACCTGCAGGCCGGGAGTTTGACAGCCCTGATCTAACATTTGACGGAATGCTTTGATGTAACATTTGACGGAATGCTTTATTTCCTTTGCCTCAAATAAGTAACATTTTGAGGCTTTACATAGTATCATCACTTCAAGCGCAGAGAGAGAAGTGCAAGTGATTAGTGGTGATGGAAACAGCTATCCCCCAAAGATGCTTATATGAAATTGTTAAAATAATTACAATTGATATTGGAATAGCTCCAACTTAAAAATTCTTCTTGCTAATTTCAGCTGCAGTACAGGTACTGCTCAACTTACAACCACAATTGAGCCCAAAATTTCTGGTGCTAAGAGAAATAGTTAAGTGATTTTTGACCCATTTTGTGAACTTTCTTGTCACAGTTGTTAAGGGAATCACTGCAGTTACTTAATTTGTAACATGTTTGTTAAATGAATCTGGTTTCCCCTTGACTTTGCTTGTCAGAAGATCACAAAAAGTTATCACATGACCCTGGGACACATCCGTCATATGAACCAGTTGCCAAGCATCCAAATTTTGATCATGTGTCCATGAGGCTGCTGAAGTGGTTGTAAATGTGAAAAACTGTCATAATTCACTTTTTTCAGTGTGTCATAACTTTGATTGGTCACTAAACAAAGGATTGTAAGTTAAGGACTACCTGTAGTTAGGTTAAGCATGCAGTGATGTGTGCTGAAAGAACAAGTATTGCCTTTTTTACCTATTTGCCACATAAAATGAGGAAGGCAAAATATGTGAACTGAAGCAGGAACACTTTCTAAATGTTTAGCTATTTTCTCTGGGAGAATAGAACTTTTATTTTTGTTTTTATTTTTAGCAGGGAAATTGATTTGACAATCTCTGGCAGCGTTCTTTACAAGGCTGTACTTGGGATAAACAAATAATATTTCAGAAGTGCATGTAGCATGTGCAAAGAGGTGCCTTTTTTTAGCTTCTGGTGTCTAAAGAATGATGATGTGACATGGAGAAACAGAAGTCTGCCTATCATACCCCTGGAGACCTATGTTGCTTAAAATAGCAGGAACTTTTTATTGAAATAATAGGGAGTAAGAATGTCAACACCCGTGATTCTAAACCCTAATCAGTCTCAAACTTTTTGCTTTTTACCTCAGCAAAATGTAGTCTATTGTATATTTCTCATCTAAATTTACTTGCTCATATTGGAAGAAAACCACAACAGTCCCATGGGTTTTTATGGACAGTTGTACTTTAAATATCAATACTGTTGCTATAATTACTACAATTTTAAATGAAATGAACCTTTCTATGTATACAGATGGTCATTAACTCTTTTTTGACCTGATTTATATGATTATATTTTTTAGGCAGTAAGAGTTGAAACTATAAAGGTATAGTTTTAAAAATCAGAATAACATTGTATGATTATGGAAAAAGTTACACATCTTTAATGGAAAATATAACATCCTGTTTTGTTTTGTTTTCAAATACAGACCCACAGGATGACAATAAAATTGGCATTGATGGAATTCAGCAATTTTGTGACGATTTAAATCTGGACCCTGCTAGTATCAGTGTTTTGGTCATAGCATGGAAATTCCGGGCAGCGACTCAGTGTGAATTCAGTAAAAAAGAATTTGTAGACGGCATGACAGAGCTGGGGTGAGTATAACAGTTTTTATCAGAATTCCATTTTTTCAATATCAAAATAGTTGATATCAAAACTGATTTTGTCAAATTGGTTAAAAATTCAGTTATATGAAACATACAAAGAATTATGCAGATATCTAAAGCATGCTTGTGGCATTAAAATGTAACTTGCCTAATTCATTATGCAAGGACTGTAAAAAGTTTTGACATAAGCCTATAGTTTATTAAGAGTGCATAAACATCTTAAAATAGGTAAAGAATAATCCAGTTCCTCAATTCTGAATTTATTTATTCCTGCCCCAAAACCATATATTGGATTCAACTGGAGTGCTTTCTAAGTAATTAACTCACTATTTCTTTCAACTGAAAGTTATTTTTAAGTGGTCTTGCTGAAGGCAAGTTTTAAGTTATGAGAGCATCAATCTTGCTATTTGATGAAATTCAAACACAAATATTGTGGGATACACTATGTAAGTTTAATTGATTTCAGTGAAACCAAGTACAGGTAGTCCTCAACATACAACAGTTCATTTAGTGCCACTGAAAAATATGGCAGGACCGTTTTTCACAGTTACAAGCTTTGCAGCCTCCCCATGAATTGATCATGTGATCAAAATTCAAATGCTTGGCAACTGGTTCATATTTATGACCATTGCTGTATCCCAAGGTCATGTGATCACCTTTTGCAATCTTCTGACAAGCAAAGTCAATGAGGAAGCCAGATTCACTTAACAACCAAGTTACTAACTTATCAACTGCAGTGACTTGCTTAACAACTGTGGCAAGAAATGTCACAAAATGGGGCAAAATTCACTTAACAGATGTCTCACTTAACAACAGAAATGTTGGGCTCAGTTGTCATAAATCAAGGACTACCTGTACAGATAGTCTGAGTTTACAGTGGATGCTGCCAAAGATAATTGCAACGCATTTTTGAAATTATAATGCCCATCTCCCATGTGGTCATGGGATCACATTTTGGCCACTTGGCAGCCAGTTTAACTTCATGGCCATTTATAGCAGTCCGTGAAGTCATGTGACCATGATTTTCCAGTTTCTGGGATTTCCAGCAAAAAAATACTGATTTGGGAAAATTGATTTGCTTAACGACAGCAGTATTTGTTTAAGGACTATAGTGTTTGTTTAATGACCACCACAAAAATGTCAAATAATCAGGTTTGGTCACATGATGCCTTGACTTACAACTGCAAGTCAATTCTGAGCTAAACTAATGTCCTAATTTGAGGACTACCTGTATTATTGGTATGTATTCAACCCTGTCTCCTAACTCTGATTTATATATTATCATAGCTATAGTTTAAAAGGGTAATATTAATTAAGGGTAATTGCTAAATTAATTATGTGTTCAACATATGGATTAAGATGACTAAAATGCCTGGAAAAATAAAAATGTATTTGGCTCTAACACCCCCTCCCCAAAGTTAGTACCAAGTATAAGTCACTGAGAATACTTTCCCAGAGATGAGTCTTCCACTAAAAAGGCCCATTCCCAAGTAGTTGCTGTAGGCATCTTTGCCTATAAGACATCTAGAGCAGAATTCCTGCCGATCTCAGATGATGGATGGGAACATATAATTAATATTGTTCATTTTAGGCATTATGGTCCCAAACTATGAAAAGTTATACAAATTTTTACCAATACCTTGAATTATGAGCAAACTGGAGCGACCAATAACCATGTAAGATAAGTATCCTTTCATACTGTAATGCTAGTTTCAATTCATACTGTTGCTGAACTATTTAATACTAACTGTACTTTTTGGCCCACCTTGAAAATTAGCCTCATATAAAACACACTGTAGTAATTTACATAAAAAATTATCAGGGCATAAATTAGCACAGGATAACTGGCTGTGACAAAATAGCACTATAACTCACCTAGTAACCTACTCCTGTAACTCTAAATTTCAATAGGAAGTGGTTCTCCCATGGCAAGGGAACAGGTCCTCCAACTTCCGAGTTCCAATCACCTTTCTAGTGTCTAAAGAGGCCAAGGGATGTAAGATCATATACAGTGTAAATAGGGAGAGCAAGCAAATTTATAAGATTTACCTGTGTTTTATTGAATATAATGAGACCTTTTTGCAGAGTTTATGTCAGAATGTGCACAATATTAAGCTTAATAACTGTGTCGGAATATTCAATCATTCTTCCAAGAAATCTTTGCAGTTCCTTGTTCACAGAATAAGAAACTACAATAAAAATCTAAATTTGGAGAATTCTGAGAAGTAGAATTGTCCAAAAACAAGAAGATATGACATAGACATATATTAACCCTATATCTGTTTAATTGGTGCTCTAACTTTTGTCATAAAAATGGCATTAAATTCAAATACAAATGGACAAGGGTCAATGGACATTTATTAGACAGTGGATGAACACAAAAAGTGTAGCATTACAGTTACACATGCCCACTCATGTTGGAAAAGTGGATTTACAAAAATATATTGGTCCAAATCGCAATAGTATAGCACAATACTAGATGAAATAAAAGCATTTGTTGAAGTTATCATTTCAAATTTCAACACTTTCAGATGAATATGAAGATAAAGCAAGAGTAATGTGTTTAATTTACACAGGAAATAGATTATATGAATGGCAAGATTGGAAGAGATGAGACATGCAATTAAAGTTGAAAGTTGAAACACTTAATAATTTGAAAGATAACATTGGTTTCTAGGGAACTTTCACTAGGGAAAGTGAAAAAACTGACTAAATGTTAAATTTTCAGAAAACAAAGGAAACAGCATCCAGTGGACTAAATAAAGACTGTCTCCATTAAACAATGCTCACTAAACAAAATCTTACATACTTAAGGAATGTCATGTCAGCAAACTAGTAAAAACAACCATGCTTGAGAAGGTTGAGCAAGGTAGCAGAAAAGAACAATAAATGTCATCAAGAAAAAGGAGTGCCTTAAAAGACATATAGATTCTCACAGATTGCAATGGCAGCAATTTTTCCATAGTCACTGTGGATTGTATCTATGTTGATGTCACCTAACCAGTGGTTATACTTACCTGTTATGTTTAAATAAAATCAGAGCTGATTTAAATTTCCCGGCAAATGCTTAATTGTTGATCTTACACCTGTGCAAAAAGCTGCAATTCAGTTACAATCCTAGAAGGACAAGCAGTTCATTATATACAGATCAAATATCTAATCTTCAACTTATGACCACAGTTAGAACCAGAATTTCTGTTGCTAAGTAAGACAGTTGTTAAGCAAGTCGTGCCCAATTTTACATCCTTTTTGCCACAATTGTTAAGCGAATCATAGTGGTTGTTAAGTGATTCAAGCAATTGTTAAGCGAATCCTGATTCCCCCGTTGACTTTGCTTATCAGAAGCCAACTGGGAAGGTCACAAATGGTGATCCCATGGCCCTCCCTGGCTTTGGTAATTTTGTTGTATGATGATGATTTCTTAGTTAAGAATTACTGTTTTTAATTTTAAAATAGATATTTAACCTGCTTTATGTATCTATTGACAGAAAAATAGTACTAGTTCAATTAAAAACAATAGTTCAGTTAAATTACAGGAAATGAGATTGTAGAGAAATAAGTTAGCTGAAGAGAGTGCTACACCTTTATCAAATTTATTGTTCTCATATAAATGCCCTTACACAATATTTTAAACCTGATTAGAGTAACTGGTTACAGCTGCATATTTGCAAAATCGCTCTATTTGCAATACAAAATGAATATGTACTTTATGTATTGATTTCTGCAGCACCAGCTGAATGAAATATTATGGAATAATATGTTTGTTACATTAACATCAACTGAATTAAAATGGAACTATTTCTTGTATATTGCAATTTCCCATTTTTGAACAGATATTTTATAAGTTTTATATTTCAAAATTCTAAAACAATACAATTGATACTAAATAGTAGTATCTTTTTACCAGGTGTGATACCACAGACAAGCTAAAAACTTTTTTACCAAGACTGGAACAAGAATTAAAGGATCCAATGAAGTTTAAAGATTTTTATCAGTTTACTTTTAACTTTGCTAAAAACCCTGGGCAAAAAGGTTTAGGTGAGTTTTTTTTTTAAGTTATTGTGTTTTCAATAATGAGAGATTTTATAATAGCCTTTTAACAAAATGAAAGCTTAGGTGAGATTCATTAGGTTTTTTTAGGCAAGATAATTCAGGTTGACAGGGAAAGGAAGGTTATTGTAATTCATGGTTTATCTTGCATGTTTTGAATAACAAATGTCACATTATTATTTGAAAAATATGACAAAACAATATCTTCATAATGGGATAGTACATTACAGTTTATTCTTAAGTAGAAATCAATGTGTTAAACATTATTTTTACAATAATAGTTTTTAAAATCTCAGTTCTCACAGCTTTTGGCAATTCTGTCAAGTAGAATTTAGGATGTTCAATCAAAACATGAACTTTTATGATGTCGTGTTTCAGAATTGAGTTTCTTTTACAGTAATCTTTCTCTTCCTGGTCTCTCATACTAAGTTAGCATACATATTATATATAAATCTAAGTTGCTACATCTCAAAGGATAAGTTTGTCTTTTCAGCAGTTTCGGGTGGCTTGTTTTTTTTCTCTTCCCGAGTTTTTCCTACATAAAAGCATTTGTTTCAGTTTTTGATTCATTGGCCCCTTTGGCTAAGGCAAGGATAGGGAGCTTTTTATGGTCTGTGGGGTCCTTAGTGCTCTCTCAGCCTGGTTGTTTTCTTGCAAACATTTCTTCATCAAATTAGGTAACATCATCAGTGCTAGAAGAGAGTGGGGTTTGTTCTTACTTTATAAAAGCTTGCCCTGTCAGTGTTAGTGGGAGTGGTCTTGGTAATTTCTTAGTTAGGCTATTGTTTACTGTTACCTTGTTTGTCTGGTAAGTTGGTAGTTTCTTGATTGGGGCATTGTTTGCTTCTTGATTGTTGGACTAGTATTAATCTTGGTGTCATCTGGATGTTGATTGCAGGTGTTTTGGTCTTTTTGTTTTCTTTTTGTTTATTGTTTCTTTTGAATGGTATGTAGATGTTGTTTATTTCTATGTGCCTGTTGATGGCTGATTTGCCTGTGCACCAAACTTCAGGAACTCTTTGGCATTTTTGGATTTGTCTTGGTCTAGATGTTCAGGGTTTTCCAATTGAAATTATGATTAAGTCTGATTATATGTTGTGAAATTAAGGAGTTTTCATTATGTCTTCTAATTGCTAGTTGGTGTTACTGGATGAGCTCTACTAGTCTTCTGCCTATTTGTCCTACATAGTCCTTGCACTGTGGGTTGTAGATTACTCCTTTTTCTTCTGGGGCTGTTGGTTCTTTTGGTTTACTTAGGATGTTGTGGAGGGTTTTAGTTGGTTTATATTCTTCCTTGTGATGCCATACGGATGGAGTAGTTTAATTTTTATCCTTTCTTTTCACATTTATGAATTAAATGTGTTTAAATGTTAAATGTTCAGAGACTGTGTTAAATGTTTCGGTTTCAGGTCCTTGAGATATACAGTCCTTGTTAAGGCAGCTATGTTCTAATTCATATATAGTATTATATGTAAATGGTTATACTTGATAAAAGAAATATATCATATACAGATTAAGCAAAGTTGGAATCCACTGGGACTAACATGGATAAAGCTAGTCTGGTTTTGAATTTTGTTTTTATTTAATGTGTACAAACATTGCATTAGGAACAGTAGCTATGACAGAAATTGGAGCTAACTTTCAAAACTCAGATCCTCTCTTAAAATAATCTAACGCACCAAAGGAATCCTAGCCTTATCTTTTAGAGACATATACGGGTTGTGAATGCCATGCAAAAGGTATTGGAAGATAGCACATACTATTTTGGGAAGGAATTGTTTGTATTTTACACCGAACATGCATTTATATACAAAACAAATTACAATATTGTTGTCATATTGTTTCACAACAAAATCTGATAACAGGAAAGACTATAATTAGTAGGTATATTTGAGAAAGCAATATGATAAAATATACAACAAACCTGCTTTTGTTATCTTATTTTGGGGAATTTTTAGCTGCGTGGAGTTGACTTGGTAAATTAGGAAGAATTGTCACTCATGGCAAATGAGCATTGCTTTAATGTTTTCCTTTTATAAATTGAACAAATTCTGCAGCCTATTTTAGGTACTGGAAGATCCTTGGAAATTTATGCAGACAGTTGCATAGTGATGATTGCCAAAACTATTTTCCCACTTTTATAAACTAAAGAAAAATTTACTGTCCAGTATATGTAAAGGAAACAGTTATTCCCGTTATGTGTATTTTCCATTGTAGACTTGATTCAGATTTAAAACTTCTGATTTAATATGCCATATTTTAAGCCCATGTTGTTATATCTCTTTGGCTGCTCATTTAATATTTTTTGTTTTCTTAAGCTGAAAGTTTATGTAACAGTTCAATGATTTTGACTTAGGTTTGGAATAAATATGCAAATTGAACTTATTTTTTGTCTGAGATATTTAAAGTATTAAAATATGGAGAAAAGACATATCTGTACAAGGATCCATGCTTATTCACAATGCAGTATAATTTATTCAAACAGAAACACCCTCACATTTGTCCTGTCTTTGGTTGGCATGTTATTTGACAATGCATTTAAATTTTAAAAAAAATTCATATTCAAGCAAGTATGTACTGTTAAGATTTTCAGATGTTCCACTGATCTGTTTTTATTGGTATGGCTATTTATCATTTATTTATTTATGAAATTTATATTCCGTCTTCCATTCAGGAGCTTATTGTCAATATAATTTCTATTCAGAGATACATATTTGTACTCGAATGCCTATTCACTGATAGAGTTGGGGGCAAAAAGCTGTCTCAATAGGTGTAGTTTTATTTATTATTTTAATGAAGGATTATATATTGTCAACTTCCAGTGGAGGCATGGCAAGCTAAACACATCTCTGTGGAGAGTGAAGATAACCACCACGGCAAAGACCAAAGAACCGGTGAGTAGACCAGTTCTTTGGAACCTGTCCAGATAAGAAGAAGACTGGAGATCACTCATGTGTGATTTGGATGGTTTGTCCTTGTGAGGAGACTGCAAGATTGTGGTCTCTAATGGATCTGAGTGCCAGGAAATGAAGGAATTAATTATCAAGCTCACACGCACAGCTGGCATCTTTAAGGACATTAAATATGCTAACCTCATTATTAATCACATTTGGAAATTGCTTATTTAACTATTTTAAGAGATCTTCAGTCTAAAAAGTTGCCTGGTGAGTTTATTTCTAAACAAAAGAAAAGTTAACTCAGGTTGAGAATTGAAACAATTTGTAATAAATGGATTTTCGTGAGAACCAGAATTATTTTGATTAGTTCCAGTCATAAGAAAGATAATAGACCTTTAAATTGGATATCAGAGGGGACAAAAGTTCAGGAAAAAAAGAAAAAAAAATGCCTTTAAGATTGTGATTTATAAAATGATACAAAATACTATAATAGTTGAAAATTAAAGGAGATATTTGAAAAATAGGGCCAAAAATTATTAGCGACAATATCAGTAATGAAGTCTGCTTCTAAGGATTGAGTTTGTCTAAAAGATGTTGATACATGTGAGGGAAAAATTGATGAGTAACAGTGGAATTAAAAAGTGTGGATTATAAAAGACAAGATTCAGATTGGAAATTGCAAATTGGAAATACAAATGATAGGAAAAGTGTGCATTATAAGAGAGAAAAGCCATGAGAACAATCCTGATAATGACTTTTATTACATCTACAAAAGAAGCTAACCAAAGCTTTGAAAAATCAAAAGGGAAATACAAAAGACAAACTAAGACAATGACCCCGGATAATAACTTTCCACTGGATTTACAAAACAGATCTGTGAAAGCCTCAATAGGAAAAAGATATACAACATCTGAATGAATCAAAGATCAAGATCGTTAGAAGTAAAAGAGAGTAATATAAAGCTGGTTTGTTTGATCAAGGTTAAAATAAAGCTTTGGTTTATTTTTATAAAATTCTGTTAAACTGTAATGGAGTTTTTGCTGACACCAGAACTGAAAAGTTAATGATTTCTGGTTTTGCATACAGAAGGGAAGGATTATAGGAAGAAGAAATACATATTTGTAAATTTATAAGGGATGATGATTAATCAAATTTGTTTTTCCCTCTAATGAAGATTGGAAGTCACTTCCTTGTACATATTTCTTTTTTTAAAGTATATTTTACTTCTTTCCTTTTTTCTTTTTTATTCACTTTTTATTCTTTTTCTTTTTGTGAGTTTAATTTGTAATTGCTTTTTCTATTGCATTTAAAATCAATAGAAATTAAAAATGTGTTTTCAAGTAAGCTTCACTGCAATATATGCATCTAGGGAAAACATTGCCATAAATACAAGTATGAAAATATTTGTCTCATTTATATAGACAGATCCAAATTCTATTTCTATAAAATTATTTTAATCTTGGGAATAATAAAGAATGATCTGGTTAACTCATGAAGGTATATGCAGAATAAATAAAAATTAGTATATACATTTGTAAAAATATGCATTGTTTTGGTAATCTCTCCCCAGATTTCAGTTTGTTTACAGTAAAGATAGCTCAGAAGAATGAGCAGTGCACTTGTATCAATGGTATCCTCTGACAAATACTTCTGAAAAATTTCAATATAAAACTAGAACTCTGCATACTCTTTTACTTACATTCTTCTGAGTAAACATGCATTGCACTATTGTGTAAAAAAAGGATGTTTTTAGTAGAATAGTTGGGGATACATTCTGAAAAATGAGGTAGGAGAGGAGAAAAACAATTCTGTGATAGTTGAATGAATATGGTTATTCTCCATGAATTTAATAATTTCCCTTTCTGTCACATTCAACATTACAACTTGGGTGCTCAATTTTGGCTATAGTAAAAAGGTTGATAATTTGCATGGATAAAGTGAAATATGGTTGTTTAAACTACAATGTCATAGCATAATAACAAGGAAGAGTGGCACTTTGTATAATGTACGACATGGTTGGACAAATGAGGCCTTGAGATCTCATTAGATCCATTCCATATTTACAGGCCTTATGCGTAAGTATTTATATTTAAACTTTAAAATGGCTTAGAATTTGTACAGGCACAAACTGTGTTTTTAAAAAATGTAACTTAAAATCTACAGAATTATGGGTAGACCTTGACTTACAACTACTCACTTAGTGACCATTTAAAGTTACACTAAAAATACGACTCATGACAATTTTTCACATTTACAACTGTTGCAGCATTCCCATGGTCATGTGATCAAAATTTGGATGGCAGCTGGTTCATATTTATGACGATTGCAGTATCCTGGGATGAAGTTATCACATTTTGTGATTTTCTGACAAGCAAAATCAATAGGGAAGCCAGATTCACTGCATGTGTTACTAACTTAACAGCTCCAGTGATTCATTTAACAAGTATATTGCTTAGCATCATAAATTTTGGGCTCAATGTTAGTCATAAGTCAAGGGCTATCTGAACTGAATTTTCTTGCCATATATAACATAAAACTACACATTTTCTTTGATACAGATTTTTCTGCATAGGTGGGGATGTGGAAAACTGATAACTAATGTGGATTGTAAATTACATTTATGTCTTTCAGATCTAGAAATGGCAATTGCATATTGGAATTTAGTATTATCAGGAAGATTTAAATTTTTAGATCTTTGGAATAAATTTTTATTGGTAAGTACCATAGAGGATTATTCCAAGTGTGTTTGTGCAAGTTCCAGAATATAATAAATTTAGTTTAACAGACCACATGGGAAGAAGATTTGTGTATAGGACCTTATTGACAGCAAAGTGGGACAACTCACCAATGTGTCATTTATTTAATTGCATAATTAAGATTATTTGCATCAATTGTGAAAGCTGCTTTGAAACATATTTGACCATTATTTATGGGTAAATTTCAAAAATAATGGATTTTGTCTATTACAAAATTCCTTTGATTAGAGTCCATAAAATTGATGTTTTATAGTAATTTTACTGTAATTTGTACAATGACAAATTACAATAACTATATCTTGATTTATCTTGATTTTCAGTCTCTTACTCTAATAATCTAATCTTACTCTAATAATTTTAGTCAGTATCTTCTCAGTAAAGATTTTACTAATTGGTCAAAATATAAATTGAATTCATACTAAGATTCTTTTTCTTACATAGGAGCATCATAAAAGATCAATCCCTAAGGATACTTGGAACCTTCTTTTAGACTTTGGAAATATGATTGCAGATGATATGTCAAACTATGATGAAGAAGGTAAGTGATGTAATATGCAAGTTTAAATATAATTATTTTGAAATATTGTCTTTAAAAATTCTACCTTTAACTAGATACCATATTAGCAGGGCAGGCAGGGTGACAGAATACAACTACAAGTCCAAGAGAACCTTTAGATAAAGGCCTGCTCTTTTAAGGGGAGAGCCACCTCATCCGGAACCAAAGTTGGAGCTTTTTTAAAAAAAATTATAATTTCTGAATAGGGATTCCACCTTATTGGGATTCAGCTTGATCCTTTTTTGACCAGCCTCCAATGCCAGGACAAGACTTCCACTGCCTCTCTTATATAATCCAGCTGAGAGGTGTATATTTGTGTTCATTAGTATTTTGATGGTATGTGTCCACAACTAATAAATGACTTCTCCCAACACTTTTATGTAGTTGCTAAATAATGTGAAGAAGAGGACTGAGCCCTTGTCCATTCTCTTCCCCTATTCCTGTTGGTTGGAATTGCCTGCTTTGGGAAGAATAGAAATAGGGCAAAAATTGACTAAAAACTTTAGGTTAAGACATATCACCACCTCCTCCAAGAAGTACAGATAAGGTCAGATTGTAAATATTCAGAGCCTTTATTCAGAATTGTTTAATTCCTCTTTAGGAGCGTGGCCAGTCCTAATAGATGATTTTGTGGAATATGCAAGACCAGTAGTCACAGGAGGAAAACGTAAAGCTTCCTAACCATAACTTCTCAGTGGACTAACTCTGCAGTCTTAACTGCATCGGGTAACGAAGACTTTTGGCCAATAACTGTGCACACTGTCACCGATTTCAAAAGTTGAGGTGGGATGCCACTGACAAAACAGAAATCGCTACTTCTGCTGCAAGAAAATGATGGCTGACTCATGGACACTGCAAGAAGAAATTCAAAAGATAGCCCAGGCTATCTGTAGGATACTGGCTTCAATTACTGTACTGGTTGTATTATATAGGATGTAGATTTTGCATGATTTTATACTTTGGGAAAGTTTAACTAGAGGCCATTTTAGTAAAATTTTGACAGCACAGCATGCCATTCAGTTCATAATACAGGGTGAACACCAGCAGTTACATAAATGCAACTGTATTATATTGTACTTATATTAAAAGCAGTATTTGTGATATATAAATTAAATCTCTAAATAAAATATGTGGTATGTGGTATTATTATATGTATCTAAAATACGTTGAGAGAATACAGTGCAATATTTATTGATTTATTTTCCTGATGCAGAATTGTGTGTTTCTAAATCTTTTAATTTCAACCTCCATTTTTTAAAAAAATTGTTTTCCTCATTCCAATGCCAAATGAAGCTTGTACTCCTCATTCACACAATTTAATGGTTTGTTTGTGGAAAGCAATTTCCATCACACCCAGACACACTTCTCTTTTTGTTCCCTTCCTGGAGGTCAATTACGGTGAAAAAACACATTTTCAAGGAAAAAGCTTTTGATGACAACTCTCTCTTAAGGCAGGGGTCTCCAACCTTGGCAACTTTAAGAGTTGTGGACTTCAACTCCCAGAATTCTTCAGTTCAAAAGTCTTAAAGTTGCCAAGATTGGAGACCCTTGCCCTAAGGAACACCATTCTCGTTGCCAGACTTAAGGAAGTTTTATCAGTCCTGCTTGTCTAACTGCTGTCAGCAAGGAAGCATTGTTGGGGCTACAAGCCAGAGTCTCCTGCTTTTCCATCCGCTGTACCCACTGCACATCACAGTGGCCCACATGATTGGCTTTCTGCTACCTGCCTCTCTCAGCCACTGCCTACTCAGGCCATCTTCCTAGCAGCTTTCTTGCCTCCCTCAAGTCACTACTTACAGTTCCCCAGAGTGCTGCCTATCAAGTTAGCACTTTCATCCCTTTCCTCTTACTCAGAAAGTAAGAGAGTTGTAAGAGGGATTTAGGGATGCCTCTTACTCATACCTGAAATTGGGTAGCGCTTTCTTGAGAAAACATGCCCTACTGTTCAGGCAGCCTTCCCAAATACTAATAGACAAGAGGTTATTTTGGGGTGCTGTGTGGATTACAATACTGTTATATCCAAACTGACTATAGACAGCTCCTTTAAAGGGTGACTCCAGCAATGTGGCTTCAGTAACCTTGGCATGTATTTTTAATAATAAAGAAGCTTTGATTATTTTAAATACACCCAGTGAATTGCAGGCACATTTTAGTTCAAGTTAAATTCTGCTACTGTCACTGCTTAATTTTCAACCAAAATTAAAGCTGCTTAAAAGCAGAAATTTCAGCAGAAATAAGCGCGCAGAAGATAATATGTTTTGTATTAAAATATTCTCAGGGTGGTGAGCAACTTCTAACAGACTAGACAGAAAGAAATAGTGTGTTGCTTGCTAGTGGTTATGACTGGGTTGGTCCTGACCGAAAATTTGTTGCTTCTGTGCTAGTACTGTTGCTTTCCTTTTTGTCTGCCTTCAAATAAAATAATAAAAGGATTGGCAAATATAAAATGTGGCTATTGTGCCTCCTATATAGCATAGATTTGAAAAGTAGACATATTTTGGGATACTGCATGCTTTCTTAAATTCTGTCTTCCACATGATTGTTAAAACTACTGCTGTTCATTGTATAATTGGTCATTGTGAAAAAAGACACAGAGAACATGTATGCTAAATTCAAAGTGGAATTCTGCATGAATTTAAAAACCTCAGCATGGTACAGTCTAAACTGCAACTTAAAAGCAATCACTTTAATTTTTATTTGGGGGGGGGGGGGTGAGAACATTAGCTACAGAAATGTGAGAAATGGGTTGTGTCACATTCCACCACTAGATGCCAGTATCTCAGTTGTTATTTTTTCATTTTCTTGTCTCCGACAAATATAATACTAAAGACTACTTTGTTGCATTCTCAAATACAACAGTATCCCTCATTGAATTCTTCAAATGAATTCTTTTAAAAAAGAAAGCTTTGCAAAGGTTTGGCTTAGAAACGCATTAAACATAAGTGATGTTAAACATATTTAACATTTATTCTTAATATTTTTAACAGTCATATTTAAAGTTTATTCTTTTAATTCAAGAATTAAGGAAACTATGTATTCCAGACATTACCATATTTTATTAGAGTTAATTTATTTTCTCTTACAGTCCTATTATTACAATATTAAACTATTCATATCGGGAGTTTTAAGAAATGGAAACTTGTAAACTTTCCTACAATGAATAATATTCCAAAATATAATAGTAGCTAAAATGAAGATAAACTAAATTTCCACCTATTATTGATACATTGAGAGGGTTCTGTGCTTGTAGGAAATGAAAAACCAAGTTTGAGCAAAGGTGGTTACTGATGGCCCTCATTCACAGCTTACAAAACTGATGAATTCAATTGCTTACCTTGTTGCAGCATAAATATGAGGTTTGTTGGAACTGTGTTTATCTGAAACAAAATGTGTGCACTGTGCATTCACTTATTACTACTGGAATATGTTCATCTACACTTTATAAGATTTTATACTCCCCAATCAGTTTACGTGTTTAAATCAAAGTTAATTCGAATTGAAAGATGATATCTTCAAGATCAACAGTATCAAATGTAATAAGTTATCTTAATGTATTCTTCACAAAATCCCACGAAACAGATCAAAATTTCAGTTCAATACAGGTTGAAAGAGCAAAACTATATTGAAAGAGCAGTACAGTCTTTTGGAATTTTGCCCAGCTCCTTAAGACAAACCCAGCATGGTTCTTCTATAGCACACAGGATTTATCCAGTAATTGCATGATAGCTATGTAACTTCATACTGTAGAGATTGTAACAACAATGGAAATGCCAGCACAGGATGATGGGGCTGACCAGAGTAAGCATTTGTGCAATTTTTCTTCTGAAAATTAAATTCCAAGTCTGAAGGAGATGCTTCACAATCTACAAGAGATTGTTAAAGCAACCATATCTTTTTCAAGACTCTTATGGCTGTTTCCTGGCATATGGATGCCCAACAGCTTCACTTCCTTAGGCACAGCTTATTGTAAAAAGTTTCTCTTTGGAAGGCATTGCCCAACCCTGTTAAATTCTCTACCAAAGAGAATTTAACTTGGAATAAAGATTAGCACTATTTTGCAACAGTTAAAATGCTTTTTTCCCAGCATTTATCACAGAAAGAAATTGAAACATATTTACTGAAATAATAGTAAGTTTGTATTTATAAGCTGCATCTTCCCAGTCATGGTTAATAATAAAATAGTTTTGTTTCTAAAATAAAGTTTGCATTATTATAATAGGAAATCATTCAATAATTCTAAAACTACTCATGCTGCTACATGATAATTTTTATTATTTTGTAACTTGCTTTGTAAATCTCACATGTCTACAAAGAAAATAGAATAGAACAGAATTGAATTGAATTCTGATTAGACACACAGGAAATTTGTTTCCAGTGCATTAGCTCTCAATATACATACAACAATAGTGATAGATCATTAACATAGTAATTGCAAAATACATTCATCATAAAATATTAGATACAACACTTAGTGATAGTCATGGACACTAAATAAGCAATCAACATAAATCATACTAGGATATTACAGTAAGTAAACAATATAAATTGTACGAGACAAGCAACAAAAGTATAGTCATAAGAAGATAAAGAGATAGATAATAGGGAAGATGAAAATGATGGTAATACTGCCTTTTTAGATAGTTTGACAGTGTTGTGGGAATTAGTTTAGCAGAGTAATGGCATGGGGGGGTCTAGTTAGTGTGTCAGTTTACAATTTACATTTAAACCTATCAATTTTAAATTAATCATTTCAACTTCTATCTTTTCATTGTGGGGTAATATAAAACTTACCAAGTTATTTTTATCATTCACACAAACATCTTGTCAGGTTTTAACAAGGAAGAAATGTACCAATTTGAACACCTATAAAAATAAGTCTCTTAATTCAATATGTGTTTTTCAAGGGATAGAGTTACATAAACTGGAGAGATCAAATATTTCTTGGCTTGCTTGTCCCAAGGCTTCTGAGTTTTAGAACTACACTTATTTGTGTTCTGCACACTTTCTAAGCTTGCAGCTTAAAAATAAGTTGGAAAATATTTGGACTTACAGTTTTATCTTGACCATTGGCTATCAGAGAAGCAGTGGCATATATGCATGCCAGGAAAGGCCAGGCTTCCCTTATACGGACAGTTCTTTGCAGTGACACAATGGCTCCGATATAAAGTGTTGCTTAATCTAAGCTAGAAGGCAAAGGAACAAAGAAACATCAAGTGCCTGTTTGAGACCAAAGAGAACTGAAAAAGCAAGTCATTTAATGATGGAGAAATTCAAGGCTGCCTTGTTACTAGCAGGGGTAGGGGATGCTTTGGGCTATCGAAATTTTATTCAGGAAAACAATGCTTTAGGTGCAAAAATTCAAGAGGAATTGAAAGAAATTGGAGGACTCGGGAACCTGGTCTTGTCCTCGGACAAATGGCCAGTAAGCGACAATACTCTGATGCACATGGCGACAGCTGAAGCTCTCATCACAGGTAAGAGGAAAAAAAATTGTTTTCTGGATGCAGACTAGGAGGGTAGGAAGAGGACTGGAGAGCTGTAATAATCATGTTTGCTAGTTGAACAGGGAGCTAATGCTACCTTTAGTGAATGATGCTTAATAGGCCAGGCATTTGCCCCAAACTTAAATAAGGGGAAAAAGAGTGTACATAAAGGACTCAAATGCCACCTCAACTATGAACTCATAAAGTCACCTGTAGTGAGGCACTATGTATAACTGTTTATCTGCAATATTTGAAATATAATACTTGTCTATCTTAAAATATTTTATGAATAATACTAGAAATAAATAATTTATTCCTAGTAAAAAAATAAATTATTTAAAATGCAAAATTAGCTCTATTTTACTTGTGCATCAAGCTGAATTCCAGTTAGCAAGGTTGCACATTATCTCATTTTGGTTGTATAAATTTGGTTCAAAGGAATACATTAAGGTTGCACGATTCACTGCGTGAATTTTCACAGATATGGAAAGAAAAACTAATCTCAAATGCCAGTTCTACCCTACACATGAGCAGTTTTTTGGTGTAGCAAAAATCAGCCTCCTGCATTGACAAAAAAATGACGTAACATTCACACAATTGTATTATGTACCCAGTTTATCATGCATGTTCAGGGGGACAGATATAGGTATCCTTGGTAAAAACAAAAGCATTTCATAAACTTTATTGCTTTCTTATTTTTTGTGTGTATTGTAGAATCAGATATGTCAAAGTCAATGAAATTTATTTAAATACCTTTATCTGACTGCTGTTCTAAAATTAGCTGCCACTGATCTGTTGACGAGAATCTTGAGTATTTCTTATCTAGCTACTAGTTAGCCAATGAAGTGAGATAGAGTCAACACCCTAAAGATAATGGCAAGATGTCAACCTATCAAAGCAAAGGATGACTGGCATACTTCTGAATATAGTCAATGATTAAATCCACGTCACATGTCCCTTGCTTCTTGACCTCTGAGCATTAAGGTTATCTGCAAGCCTTATCAGCCGGCTCTGCAACCATTTTTAGATACAGTAGTTCCAAATTAGTAAGGTCATATTTCTCTCAATATATAACGTGACACCACTTGTCAGGATACACCTTGACCTTGATTTCATCAACTGTATTTCCAGGTACCAGCTATTCAGTGTTTTTGTCTGCTTTTTATTCTAAATAGGGAAATATGCTGGGTTTTTTTATTATATAAAGCATTACTGGGTAACCTTTAAAATGAAGTTATATAGATAAAAGCCATTTTATAACAGGGAATATAGATGTTGATCTATAGATGTTGATAGTTTATTGTAAACTACCAGTTGACAGAAAAAGGGCATCTGAAAAAGGATAAGTTGGAAATAAGCATGCTATCTGGAAACTAATCATGCTACCTTTCTAGAAAGATGGAAAACAGATACAAATCCATCTTCCGCTTTTGTATTTGATAGTTCAATTGCTTTGCCACATTTAAAAATATTTATTAGAAATGTCAAGGGTCTGTTAGAAATGTTAGTTACAAATACAATGGATGTTGCAGACATAGTAGTAAAATGTCCATTTTGACATTTACTATTCTCTTTTTTTCTATGTTGTAATATCTAACAAGGACTCATGCTGATGTGCAATTATTCTCACAAACATAATGATCAATACAAAAACCAAAGGCATGAAACTATCTAAATTCTGTAAGAAACAATTAATTCAAATTAAGCGAGATGCAATTAATATATAATTAAATAGGCAACCAATAAACAGATATCCATCCTCAAATGGCTTTCTGAATAGTTCTGTTTTCAAGCCCTTAATAAAATACAAGAAGAAAAATACATCTGGCCATTTAATTTTATTAGAATCTCAATTTAATTAATCCAGAAGCAGCTAATGACACTTTTACAGCAGTTTTGTTTATTATACCAATATAATTCCTATTTTATAAAAGGGTAAGGATCTCTTATCTAGGCCACTGAATGAATACATGACAACCACTGGTCCAATACAATGGTTCTCAGCCAGAAAGAACAGGTACATTGGCTTGTTCCTCCATGGGTCAGTAGTGCTGCCATTCATCAAGAACTAAATCATTTATCGAGAGGTCTTTTGCATAGCAGTGTTGAAGCGCTATTCTTGAAGGCAGAGGCAAGCATAAGGTATGCCAGTAGCAAAACATGCTGGCAGCAATTCCAGCCCTGATTCTGTCTCAACCAAAAGATGGGATCCATTTAAAACCAAGGAGAGAAGACAAACAGGGTGTGAAAGGCTTCTTGATGTCAGATTTCCAATTTAACACGGTGTTTGAAGAACTGGCAGCAGAGACGCCATCATTGCCACTTGTCTCCTCCTGGTTTTTCCTACCATCCATGGGAAGAGAAGCAAAGGGGAGAGAAAAGTGAATGTCTTTTGGTGATAGTTTTCCATCTACCAAGATCAGCCTCCTCTTCCCACCCCTGCATTATCGCATGGAAGCGATGGCTGGAGCCGCTTAAACTCCAAAGTGAGGGTAAGCAACTCTTCAATTGCTACTCACATGTGGTAAGACTTCTGGACGCATGTCAAAAATGCAGCTATCCAACCCCACTGATCAGATGGTGTGCCAAGACTGGGTAAGCACAGCAAACACAGCAGCACCCTGAAGGTGGCAGATCTTTAGCCTGGAGATCTAATCTTGGCTTGCCATCCAACCAAGTCCTGGCAACCTTAGGATCTGCTACCATATCATACATTATTGGCTCTCTGCTGATGGATCAGGGATGTGTTGACAGTACATTGATGATTTATGCCCTCCAAGTACTATTGCTGCATCTTCTACAATTGGCAAGGTGTGCAGAAAAACCCTAAGTATGTATCTCTATGTGCATTGCACTTACAAAAGTGACTCTGAGTGGATTATAAATGGTTAGAAGCACAATAAACAAATCAGAAACCAAACCATGACTAGCATCCAAAACAAAATATTTGAGGCCAACAACAGCTATACCATCTTTTCAATTCTGGATGATCTTATTCCATACTCTGGCCCAATGCCCAGGGGATAAACTAGGTTTATGGAAGATCAGCAGGGTTGGAGCCATACAAACCTTGGGTAGAATTCTATTCTATAGGGCAGGCACTGTAACAAAGAAGGCACACCTTCTGGGTCCTGCCAGGAGGCACTGTTTCATATAAGGGACCTGAAGCATGCCACTGTCTTGGCTGTCCTCGGATGAGTTAACTGGAGATAGTTGGTCACATGAATAAGTTGTCGGAAAGTGGATTTTTTTGAAAAATTTTCTAAGATACAATGGAAATAAGCAGAATAAGAATCAGATGCTAAAGGAACTACACGTTTTAATTAAAGAATACAAAAACCTAATTAACAGCTACAGAATGATACAAATTATAATATTGGAAATATTGTAGGACCATTATGAAATATGGCATCAGAAGTTAATATCAATAATGTCATTTGTGATGCTTGTTTCTATGGGTAGGCTATGTCCAAAAGATGTTATGGGATAAATGGTAGAAGAGGAACAAGTTTTATCAGACAAGACAGAAACAGAACTGACACTAAAAGTGGATGTACCAATGACAGGCTATAAGAATGACATGCAAAAAGATGTCTCACTGGACAGAAAGAAATTGGTTGAAAATCAAAAAGTAATTATAAATAATAAAGCAAGAGATTTATCTGGATAATTGTTTTGTATTAGATTTATTAAAAAAGGTTTCTTAAAGCTTGCATGAATCTTCTAAGAAGGGGCAAAAAACAAATGAAATCAAGTTCTACAACATTGCAGTACTTGAACTAAAGATTATTAGAAGTAAAAGAAGGAATGCAAAGCTAGTTTAAAATACTGTAGATATGTTATTGTTTCTGACAAACCTTAATGAAGTTTTGCTAGGACTGTAATGATGATGCTTTATGGATTTGATTATAGATAAGAAATGGGACATGGGGTGAAAACATCATAGGCTGTAATTAAGAGATGAAAATTGTTGATACTTGTGATGAAGGTTGGAAGTCCTCCCTTCCTTCCTTTTTTATTTTATATTTTATATTAGTTATTACTGCAATTATGATATTTAATAAAATTATTTTTAAAAATATCAAGTCACTGAACAGTTGAGATATTTTTTATCTACACCTGTTTAGTACTGCCTTAGGGCAGGGAGAATGTGACTGCTCAAGAAATTAATCTTGCTGTCATGTTGGGTAGTTCAATTAAAATATTAGCACAGTGTCTAGGTGTTGTTGTTCTTTAAAACAGCAAATTCAATTCTAGGAATTATTAGAAAAAGAATTGCCAGTAATGAATGTCCTTCCAGAAACCTACTGGTATTCTTAATATTCCATACTATGATTTTACTGATACTGATCATCAAGTCCTAAAAAGTCTCACGCATTGGAAAAGAGCAAACACACATATCTCAAATAAATAGAGAGCTAAAGCAATTTCCTTACAAGAAAAATATGCTGAACAGATTTTGTTGCAGGGTTTGTTCTTGTTCTGATAAGAGAGACTTAACAGAAACACATAAATCATAAATGATGTGGGAGATATGGGTTCTTTAATTTAATTTTCAGACCTTTGAAATAAAATGCAGAAAGATTCAGGAACAGCAAAAAGATGAAAAGTATGTTTACATTCCACAGACTTAACAATAGCATTTCCTACTATTTAGAATTTTTTAAGGAAAAGTATGCATGTTCATAAACAGCTGTGCTATCAGTGACTTCTGATGATACATCTGAATCATAGGCAACAAACTTTGAATGACTATCTGCTACACTTCAGTAGAAGGAGACATTGATCTTCTGTTTGTGAACTTTCCAAATACATCTCTTTGGCCAAATCATGTTACAGAATCCAAGGTCTTTTTGGTTCTAAGAAAATTGTATGATGGAGATAAAACAATGTTCTTAACTCTGTGGTAAAGCAAAAAAGAACTCCTGCTTGTACGAAGAGCTTTCCACCTTATTTTTTATTTCCAGAATTCAACTCATATTTCATGTGAATGAAAGTAAATATACATGTCCCACCCCAAGATAATGTTGCAGGATGCAATCTGAGTCAGTCACCGGGAACAAAAATTTATTCTTCCAAGCTTTCACACTCATCCTTGAACTCATCATCGGGAAATTTCTCTCTCTTCAGAATATGTGCATATAGATCTGGTTGTGTGTAGCTTTTAGTTGTTAATTAGGGTGTTGATAACTGGCTATTAAGTCATTAGTTGTTTCCTTATGCCACCATGCCCTCAATACCTGATAGGCACATGGTAAATTAACACTTCTAATGTTTCTCTGGCTGTTTTTGTCCCTGCTCAGCCAACAATCATTGTATCTGCAAAATCAAATTGTTCATTCACTTATTTTCCTGCAATATGGTGGTTAGCTTCATATCCATCTGTCCCACATAGTTGCAAGGGCAATCCATTCAAGGAATCCAGTAAATTACATTAGAGGTTTCTCCCACCTCCAAACAATCATAGTCATGTATAGCATGTTACACAAAGAAGTCTACTGCCATCTTTCTACCTTTCTAATCATTCACAAATAGAGGATCTGTGACTCTTAAGAAGTGAACTTCATATGTCAACCTTGCTGGTTGAGACCACTGAGAAATATAGTTCAGTAATATCTATGGGACTCACTTACTTTATCTCTCATAGTAGAGGTACTATAACCTACATTTCGAATGAATTTATACTTTGCTATCATTTAGTGCTTATCCAAATCTTTACAGCCAAAATTATAATATTATAGTATCATAAACACACTCAACAGAGATAGGAATAAGCCAGACTGGATGTAATGAGAGTAACTTGTTGATAACCATTCATAGCTGCTCTATTTATCATTGCTATTCATGTATGCCAAGACTGTAATGACGTAACATGTTAAATGACTGTGGCAATGAAATAATTGCCCTGTTCAAACATCATTCATGTTATTCCTTTTTTAACATTTCCTACTGCATACAAATGTATCTTATTTTTTGCCTGCATAGATTATTGGTGCTTAGAAGATCTGTATCGCGAACTTGTTAAACGTTACGTTGATGCTGTTGAAAAACTTCCCGAGAAAAGATCAGATCCTGCTACTATTGAAGGATGCTCCCAATTGAAGCCAGATAATTACCTCCTTGCTTGGCATACACCCTTCAATGAGAAAGGTAGGCTGAACATTTCCCCACACTAATTTAACAAAAGCCATATTACACTTTTGTCCTTTGAGAAAAGATACCAACTATTGTTGGATCAAAGGCCATATTCTTTTGACATCCCAAAGTTCTAGGACAAAACAAAATGTACAATTATAGTGTTGAATCTAAATTCACCATAAACTAATCTGAATTAAAAGAGACACCTCCCCATTTATTTAATACTTATCTTTTGTCTGACATATTAACAACTATAGCTGAGAAAGAGGTTTTGGAAATATTCTGGGAACTGTACTTAAAAGTCTCAAGGACTGCATAAAGTTTGAAGCTTTGGGTGTGGGTTCCCTGCCCTGTTTCAAAATAGCCTGAAGTAGTTACAGTAAGTGGCAAGGAATGTTAGATAAGTCAAAATAAGTGGGGACTAGGCTAATATCCATGTACAGTTACAATCATTTTGAATTATTAGGAGCTATGGTGGCGCAGTGGTTAGGATACAGTATTTCAGGCTAACTCTGTCCACAGTCAGGAGTTCAATCCTGACTGGCTCACAGTTAACTCACCCTTCCAGTCCTTCAAGGTTGGTATAACAAGGACCCAGATTGTTGGGGGCAATATGCTGAAGTTTTTTTAACTACTTAGTGCTGTAAAGCACTGCAGTGGTGTATAAGTCTAAGTGGTCTTGTTACTACTATTACTATTTCAATGTTTTGACATTTTGGCTGCACTTTCATGTATTCACCTGTTGGTAAATTGCACTGAAAACATTGATATTTATATTTACATACAGAGACATACACACTCATATACAATGTTGAACCAAGTTTAGGTAAATATAAACAAGATTAGTCTTGTTTAGTGTGTGAATTTCAAAATCCTAAATACTTGGCACTTGACTGCTATCTCAATTAACCAGTGAGAACTCATTGCAGATTACAGTTTTTCATGCATTGCAGGATATACTTAAAGAGCTAAATCATTTAGGTTTTTTTTATGTTTCATAAAAAATGAAAAGTTTCATAGGTTGATTCTGTAAAGATACATGTGATATTTTTTCTCTCTCTTTTTACAATAACAAGTATGCTCTCCTCTGACATGTGGGAATCATGTCAGTTGTATGGCTGAGCAGCAATTCTATATGTGCCTGGAGAAACATAATCAGCTGCCAAGAATTCCTTGGGGACAGCTCAGCTCCGTGTCCTTTTGTAAATTATCTCGGCTTACAAATAGCTCAAAATCTATTTCTAGAGTCTTTGTTCTTGGCATGATGCTTTCTGATTCCAGATTTTTGTCCTGGAATTTTGTATTCATTTCCAGCAATACAATTGGTCATGTTTCATCTGGAGCTGTGTATTTATTATACATTTTACCAGTTTCATTTATTGAAATCAGATTCCTGAGACAATCCAACTACATACACATGATGCCTCTGAGCGTAGGGCTCAAGACAAAAGTTTGATTGCCAGTTTGATTTCTCCGGTGACTTCACTTTGTTTCCCTCCTGGTGTATATTACACAAACCTAACTCTGTTCTATAGTCTGAATGCTGGCAAGTTTAAGGGACCATATTTCATGGGCAAAAGCCCAGCTTCCACTGGATGATGCAGATTCCAGATCCAGCAGTGGGTTAATATGACACTGTTTCATAAGTGCCCTCAACTGGAGCAACATCCTCTAAGACAGCATCATGGCATAAACATTGCCACATACTATGGCAATTATTTTTGTCCCGGCGCACTGCATGATGCAGCACTGATGTCAAAACATCTTCCCCTCCTCACTCTCCAGAAGAAGAACAAATAAAATAAAACTAGTCTTGGGCTATAGTTTCCCACTTATGTTCTGTGTCTCCATCTGATCCATTCTGTGGTTCAGCCAACTGGAAGGTAGTAAGTTGTCATGACATACAGGAATCTGTCTCACGCTATTTTATCATTCTGAGAGGACACTTGATAATGCTACCAGTTTGGACAGGTTCGGCCAAACTGGTAGTAAAAAAACAAACAAACCAAGAATCAGCTGAGAGGAGGGGAAAAAAAATCTGACAAACAGCTGAGAGGAGAGAGAAAAGAAAAGTGCAGGGTTGGCCCGCCCACCTGCCCCTGTGCTTTTCTCTTTATCCTCTCAGCTGATTGGCGCTGCAGGTCACAGCTGGTGTGGGGAAAGCTTCATGCTGGCGTTAGGCAAAGCCACGCCCACAGAACCGGTGGTAAAACAATTTGAATCCCACCACTGTTGAGAAGGTGTCAATAATACCATTATTATAAACCATGAGTGAAAAAATAAGTAACACCCACTCATGGGAACGTGCTATTTTTTTTCCACTTTATGTAATTTGGAAAATTCCCAATTAGTCATTCAACATAAGACTGAATATACAATCTTCCTAATATTATTTAGTATAGTGTGATGATTTATGATAGTAAGTGTCTGGGTTTGAAGCTGATGCAGCTAGAGGTTTTGATTCCTGTGACAGAGAAAGCCATTTTGTAAACAAGCGATGGGCATCAGAAATACTCAAGGCAAAGAAACAAATCTTGCATTTTTGATGACTTGAAAAGGGGAAGAGAAGGGGCCCAGAAAGCAAAACCTTGGGATAAATACATATAATAAAGGCAGGGTTTCTATGTGATAAAAGTATTCCTCAACTTGCGACCACAATTGAGCCCAAAATTTCTGTTCCTAAGCAAGTCATTTGTTAAGTGAATTTTGCCCCGTTTTATGACCTTGCTTGCCATAATTGTTAAGTGAATCACTGCACTTGTTAAATGAGTGACATAGTTGTTAAGTGATTGGTTCCCCCATTGACTTTCCTGGTCAGAAGGCTGCAAAAGGTAATCACATGATTCCAGAACACTGCAACCGCCATAAATATGAGTCAGTTGCCAAGCTCCTGAATTTTGATCACGAAAACATGAGGATGCTGGAATGGTTGTTAAATATGAAAAATGGCCGGAAGTCACTTTTTTCAGTGCTGTTGTAACTTTGAACTGTTGTATGCCGAGGACTACCTGTATAGAAATACACCCAATTAATGGTCAAAAGTTTGTTGTTACTAAACATTACAGAACTAAAGTGCACCTATGTTCGATCAACAGTATTTAAGAAGTGAGGAGAAATTACTTGGCATGAAAAATCAATGCAACACTCCAAGAGTCATCAGACATTCCACAGACACCTAAACTCAGGCATAACACACACACACACACACACACACACTTATCAAAAATCTTTTTCATGAGGGACAATTTCAGCCTTATTGTGATTTTTCTAATATATTACCCTCATCTGTTCAAATGTAATGTTATGTAGAAAGTTTATGTGGGAGGGAAGAGGGTATGTGTAAAGCTTATGTCTGGAATTAGGGGTCTGTGGAGCCTTAACTTAAGTTCTTAACTTAAGCACTGAATATATTGTAAGCTACTCAGAGCCTTTTTTGAAATGGGTGGTTTTATCAAATTCAACAAAGAAAATATCAAAATTTCTCTTCAAAACTGCTTGTGTATATGTTGTGTGTATTCCAAATTATTATTTATTTATTTAAAAACTTGTTCCCAGTTTATTTTGGGTTTTTAAAGTTTGTTTATTATGGTTGGTCACACACAGTCAGCCAGATATTTAAATTGGGTTCGGCATTTTTATCCACCTATAGATTCCTTTCCAAGGACATGAGATAGGTAGTTCTTGTTGTTTGATGGCGTTAAAGGCATTGTTGCAAGATGTATGCTGTTCCAACTAAAGCCAGCTTTGGCAATTGACTGATAGTGAATTATTATTATTATTTATTACACGTATATGCTATCGAGTTTATACTATATTGCTTCTATGGATTTCTTTATATTTAATTAAATTGTTCATGTAGCCATTTTAAAAACAGTGGAACTTCCTTTATTAATTTACATGTTGTCATTTGTCATATAGGATCAGGGTTTGGTGCAGCTACAAAAGCCATGTGTTTAGGGATGAAATACTGGAAGCCCGAAAGGCTGGAAACTCTAATTGAAGTGAGCATTGAAGTCGGACGAATGACTCATAACCATCCTACAGGTAATATCTAGGAAAATTAGTACACTTGGTCATCCTATATAAAATATTGTCATCAGCAAATGACTGAGTACAGTAATACAGATCCTGGATGATGGGGTACCGTAAGTTTTATTTGACATCTGTACAAGGCATATGTTCTAGTACAATGAATATGTGTTCTAATATACTAGCTCTGTTAAGGTTAGAACTGCATTAATCATATGAAGACAAACCCTGAAGTATGGGGGGAAATTGGGGGTGAAAAGGAACATTTATTTGTGCCCACCTTCCCCTGAAAAGACCTAGAGGATACCATAATGGGTATGTGGGAATACCTTAGGAGTGTGGGAAGCCATCACCCCCTTCCTAGAAGAATGAAATATTTTGAGGAATATTTTTAAAAAGGCAGGATAAAATATTTCCCTTAAAAGAGAAATATTAAAGGGAGACAGAAACTCAGAGCCCCAGATCCCTGCTCCCGGCAGATATTTTGTGCCCATTAAGAAAGACGGAGTCATCCTATCTACAAAACAAAAGATCTTCGGCTCCGAGGTGAAGAGATTAAGACATGACCCTTCAGGACATAATAAGATTAACCCAGGGATGGGTTTCTACAGGTTCTGTTCACCTCTGTAGAACCGATAGTTCTGAAGAGCAGCAGACATATTTTATTTATTTATTTGATTTGTCAATTGCTTACAAAATAACATATTATCTTATTATATTAGATTACATAGAACTGGTTCTATGTCTGCTGATGTTTTTGCCCATCCGGGCACTTACGTGATTTTATTTCCTGATTTTCCAACTTCAGCTGCCGAATGAGGCACAGCTGCAGTTAAAAAAGCAGGAAAAAGGGCTGTTTCAAAGGCTGCTTCTCTGCTGCTGATGACGATTTACAGGCTCGCGGCTTGCAGCCTGCAGGGAAGCTCGTAAATCCTGAACCGGTAATTAACCCTGTCATATCCCACCCGCTGGATTAACCCACTAAGACACAGACCTCACTACATTGCACAATATCCTAAGGACAGTGCATCACCCTCAGAAACTTCAACCAAACTTACCTCAGACAAACTCCTAGAATGTTTATATGGCCCCATGGGAGTCTGACAACAGCCAATAGAATACATGTTCCTGCACAGGAACAGAAAGTTCAAATGCAAAGCCCAAGAAAAAAGTATGAATACCCCCACACACTCTCAACTCCGTATGATCAGCTGCACCAGAACCATGTGCTTGGTGGTTCTGCTTTATCATTAAACCATCTTTCCAATCAGCCTCCATGTTTCCAGTGTCTTTCTCCCAGCTTGGAACTGAACCAGATAGATATTTATTCCAACAGGAGACAGGAGGAAGAGCCACAACCGTTTAATAAACCAAATTTGAATCCAAATGGGGAGGTTTAACAAAAGCATCTCAAAAGGAACTCTCCATAGTTTTCAGGAGAGTAAAATGAAGGAATCTTTCACACTTGCAAGATTCTGTCAGTGTAACCTTAGAATAAAGATAGAGCTGCTTCTTGTCTAGAGTACCTTTGCAAGCCAACAGATATTTACACACACACACACACAAATTTTAGAAGAAAATAATTATGGGAAGAATTTGCAAGAAAGATGCTTGATATTTTCTGGAAGAGCTGAGATGATAAAATGTAAGTCAGTATTAAATATTGATATTAAAAACAAATATAAAAGATTAAATATGTCAATGCAGGCGTGCATTGTTTGCCAGTAACACTATTTTATTTAGTCATTAAGAAGTTCCATCTGTTGTACTTCGAAATGCCTTGATTCAGAAGCTGCATTTTTTTATTCCAAGTGGAATCCTAGGGCCAAGGATTCCAAAGTGTGATTTGGTTGAAAATGGGATCATAGGTATAACCTAAAGAGGTGTAAATTGCCCCAAAGGAACTAAAGTAAGTAGGGTGGATGGGCAACTGAAGAAGCACCCACAAGGAACTAATAGTAAACCTATAGGTATGCTTACTGGGGAATTCAACACATCTGGAAGAATCCTGGTTAGGAAAGATACTTTAGACAGTGACACACTATGATTTCAGCATGGATATTAATGGCAAACTTCCTCCTTTTCTTTTCATACTAAATATCAAATGAGAATCAGCCCTGATGTGTGTCAGAAATGCAAACTTAAAATAGGTCTGTCATATTTTCTAGAAACCAACATGCGCATTCAGTACAGGAGCAGTTGCCTTAAAAAAGTGCATAATAATTAAATGGGTTGATCAATTATTGCTCCAAATGAAGAGCATAATTAAGTGTAAGCTAAAATTCAAATCCGTCTTCTTTCCAAGCAGTGGCATGCAACAGGATGTTACTTTGTCTTTTAAGTTGAGAATCACTAAGAGTTTGTTTTGAACTTCTGCATCCCATTCTCCTGTCCTAATCATTGAGGTCAGAACTACATATAGAAATAAAATAAGTCACCATCCTGGAATGTTACCATGAAAACATGCCAGCCAGCTACCTCCTAAAGGCAGATATAAGTAGCAGGTCATCACTATTCTCTGAAATGTTCCATAGTTATGATTATGTGCTGGCAGTGGTACAAAAAACATTATGAACATCTTTAAAAGGGGAACAGTTAATTTTTTAAAAAGAAAGAAGTTTAAGGGAATATAGAGTTTGAAGTTCAATGAATTAAGCCTTACAGCACATGTATTTATTATGCTACCATTAGTATTATATTTTGGCCATTTGGGGATGTTTATAAAGTATTTTAAAATTCTAAATAGCTCCAAATGGTCAAACTAAACATTGTTAGATATATCATAATCTTTTATTTTGTTCTTTAAAGAACTGTTATTGGGTTGCTGGTTAGAAGAAATATCTGTATGAAAAAAAATAGAAGTTGTTACCATTTCAAAGTGGATTTTAAAATGTTCTTGTGCTTTATACTGGTAGTTTTTGACTTACAATTGAGCCCAACATTTCTGTTGCTAAGTGAAACATTTGTTAAGTGAATTTTGCCCCATTTTACCACCTTCTTGCCACAGTTGTTAAGTGAATCACTGCAGTTGTTAAATTAGTAACATTGTTGAGAATAGAATAGAATGGAATAGAATGGAAAGGAATGGAATGGAATGGAATAGAATGGAATGGAATGGAATGGAAAGGAATGGAATGGAATGGAATAGAATAGAATGGAAAGGAATAGAATAGAATGGAATGGAATAGAATAGAATAGAATAGAATAGAATAGAATAGAATAGAATAGGAATAGAATTCTTTATTGGCCAAGTGTGATTGTTAAGTGAATCTGACTTCCCCATTGACTTTGCTTGTCAGATGGTTGAGAAAGGAGACCATGTGACCCCAGGACATTACAACCGTCTTAAGTATGAATCAATTGCCAAGCACCTGAATTTTGATCATGGGATCATGGGGATGCTGTAACAGTTGTAAGTCACTTTTTTCAGTGCCATTGTAACTTTGAAGGTCACTAAATGAACTGTTGTTGTAAGCCAAGAACTACTTTAAAGCAACAACTCCTAAAAGCTAAGTAAACGAAGCGTTATTTGGATTCAAATAAATTATCTCATGATTGTTTCTTTAATTTTTCAAAAGGGTATATGTACTATGTTGTATATCTGAGCAGATGTAATTTTAATTGACTTTAAAGTAAATATCTAATTTAGTCTCACAAAATGATTCCTCATGGGAGCAAAATAAAACTTTTATTTTCTTATACACACATAGATATGATTCTGTCCATAAACTCATTCTTTAAAAAAAAATTGTTGTCAGCATTACATTCTTTTTGTTTTGTTTTACCATACACACATTCATCTTTATGTGCTAATTTCAGGCTTCCTAGGATCTCTCTGTGCAGCTCTGTTTGCTTCGTATGCAATCCAAGGAAAGCCACTGGTCCAATGGGGAAGAGAGATGATGAAAGTTGTCCCAATGGCAGAAGAATATTGCAAAAAGACCATCAGGCACATGGCAGGTAAAAAAGATGAATGGGTCATTTCAAATGTATAAAACGTAAAAATAGCATCACTTTTTCAAAATTCCCAGTGACTTTGTTTAGTTACAGATGGTTAGAATCAGTATTGCAGGCTAATTCTGCTGACTGCCAGGGGTTTGATCTTCACCAGCTTAAGGTTGACTCAGCCTTTCATCCTTCTGAGGTCAGTAAAGTGAGGAACAGGGGTGGTATTCTACCGATTCAGCCCAGTTCTGCAGCCGGTGGCTCTGCAGAACTGATGAGCAGCGGAGACCGAACCAGTTGTCTCTGCCCCTCTGCTGTTCGGCCCACCCACCCGCTGGGGCTCCCATACTCACTTTTATTCCCTGCTTTTGAAGCGCAGCTGCTTTGCACGGCACGGCAGAGTGCTGCGCGGCAGCTGCTGAGGCCACAGGGAGCGTGCAGGCTTTCAGGAAGTGAGTCGGAATGCCTCTGCGGCTGCACAAATGCCCCACCAAGCCACGCCCACCAAACTGGTGGTAAAAATCTTTGAATCCCACCATTGGTGAGAAATCAGATTGTTGGGGGCAATATGTTGACTCTGTAAACTGCTTAGAAAGAGTCTGTAAACCACTATGAAGTGGTATATAAATCTAATTGCCATTGCTACTCTTTCCAAGTAATTAATTTCACTTGCCATCTTCTGTTTGAATTTAAATTTAAATGGTATTGTAAGGTGTAGGGTCTCCCGCTTGGGCGGGGGGTTGGACTAGATGACCTACAAGGTCCCTTCCAACTCTGATTATCTGTTATCTGGAGTTGGGTGAAAAATGTAATGAAATACTAATTTAAAAATAACATTAGATCAATGAAACAGTTGCATGAGCAATGCGCTTTTAACAGCCCCTCCATTTTTTTTAATGAAAGTTGTTCCACTTTTATCCAAACTGTTGTTGTTGTTTCTTAAGAGTAGAGCAGGTGCAGGATTAACACTTATAGGTTTGTCTCTCACAGGAGGACGCTGGCATTGCTCAGGGCAATGTCATCTCTAAGTAAAACACGCAAGCCTTTCGAAGCAGGTGCTTGTAACCCCGTCATTGTGGAAAGCGGTGCTATTTTAGAAAGCAAGGAGAGAGGTTGAAAAAAATAGATCCCTGCTTGAAACACAACTGAACCCTGTTTTTCAAGACATTTGGCTGGCTAAACAATGATAAAAGTTTCTTTCTTTCTTTCCTATTCAATAGCTCTAAATGGCTGTACATGATAGCTTTAAACTAAATATAACAAAGAAAATAAATACTATTTAGATTGCTTACACTGCAGCTACTTCACAAATTACGTTTTCCCCTGAAATCAAAGGCAATTTCCCACACAGAAAGAGCTCTACCATAAAATGTGTTTAGAAGTGTTCTTTCCAACACAAATATCATAGTGTCAGGAAGTACATTTAAGACAGAATAGTAGGGCACATTTCAAGAATCATTTTGAGTGTGCCCCTTTGTCTCCTTAAAAAATATTTCTTGAGGGGAAAAATGTCAAAGATGAATTACTCTATCTTTCTCTATCTTTCACATAGATTGATACAACAATCTATGTAATATTCAAGTATTCAGCTTAAACATGATACTCAATTATATTAACAAAAAATATTACAGGGCTCAGATTGTGTATTAAAAGTTGATTGGCCTTTAGTTATCTTTGTTGACTATCGTATGTTACTATAGCATATTGCGTTAAAGAAAGCCCTTAAAAATGGCCCAAAAATGAAACTAATTCTTTGTCTTTATGGAAATAAAAATCTTCCAAACCTATTCTCTACTATTAGTTATTATTAATGACAAACAGTATTATAATAGCCTTATTTGACTATGCTTGACTGGAATAATTTTTCAAGATTAAATGTGCTATAATTACATGTTTATTTTCCATTCAGAATATCAGGAACACTGGTTTTACTTTGAAGCAAAATGGCAATTTTATTTGGAGGAGAGAGAGATCAACGAAGAAAACCAGAATAAACCCCAATTTCCTGACAATTATGATGCTGAGGAAAGGGAAAAGGTAAGTTTTTCAAGAAAACAGCTGTTCAAACTTTCTGTGTCTGGGAAGAGGAGGAATAGATATGAACTGATACTTTTCTTACTAAAAAGAGATCGTATGCTGTAATTACAAAACCAAATGATAGAGGTTGTGTCTCAAAAAACAATATTTTACAGAATAAAGTTTAAGTTGATCATGTGTAAGAGAAATAGTAATAGAAACAATAACGAGTGACAAAAAAAGTTGATTGTTGATATATAGCGAACCAGAGACCAATGGGTAGATGTTACTCAAAGCATTAAAAACCAATAAATTAAGGAACTTGAAAGCATCAACTGTATGTTTCCTTGTTTTTAAAACATGCAAACAGAGAGACTTGTATATGTATGTTCTGGTGTGCATTTTGTCAAGTTCACACAGTCAAAGTTGTTAGTTATCCATTTAGACTTACCGGAGATGGAGTTCTGAAGGTCGTGGTGGAAGGAGAGGTCATGATGCTCCTATGATTGCGTATGATGCTCTCTTAGGATGTGGTGGTGACTGGACAGAGCTTTGTAACCGGGCAATGTTCCATGGAGGTGAGTAAATTACTGCTTTTTGTATTTTTTATATAATTCAATCCTTATAGAAATTAAAAAGCAACATGTTCACAACAGCTTTCGTCAACCAAAAGTTTTTGAGATGCATTGGTCTACAAGTCGCATAACTCCTGGCCAGTGTGTTATTGAAAGTTCTAATTGCTCAACCATTGTCAATTCCCACATTTTCACTACAGGACTCACTTTCCATTACAGAGAGCAGGATAAGTATAGATAAAGGGGGTAGCAGTGACAGTCCTTTGGCAGTCCCTTCTATTAAAGTTCACAAGTATACATGTATCTTAGGCCACCTCCTACCTAATAACTTACGGTGATATAATGCTTTTCCTCATCATGCTGTTTTGGTACAGTAATGATCAAACCTTTATCAGTTGAAATGTCAACCGATATTAATGAGAAATAGCTTGTGTTAGTAACATAGACTGTCCGCTGGTTCAATCAACTGCATAGAGAACATGAGGAGAAAGAAAGAATTCTAATTTTGGGTGGGATTTATAAATAATTCAATTTCAAAGATGGTTAATAAGTGCACTGATCCACTTGTAACATTACAGAGGTGGGGCACAATGTTGTCATCTTACTTCTGGGGTGGCTAGGTTTTGATTTTTTTCACAGTTCATGCTGATGAAAATTGAGGATGGAGATGCTGGGGAAATTTTAGAGATTCAGTTCTCAAAAAGGCCTAGAAACCTGTCAGAAATACAATCTTGATCATTGTTTGATAATAGCTTATCTTTCACTCCATGGTTAAAATTCCTGAATGCTCATTTGTGCTTTTGATTTCTAGGTGAGAGTGCCGCTACGGGATCAATTGCTGGCTGCTTGTATGGGCTACTCTATGGCCTCAACAAGGTTCCTAAAGGCTTATACCAGGAACTTGAGCAAAGGGAGAGGTTTGAATACTTGGGGGAAACTATTTTCCAACGATCTTCAGAGGAAAAGTAAAGATACTTTTATTTTTTTTTATTTTATAATAAACTGGCAATCACTTATGAAAACAAATTTGCAGGAGAGAAAAAAGAAAAGACCAGAATCAGAAGTGGTATTCAGCAGGTTCTGACCAATTCTGGAGAACCGGTAGCAGAAATTTTGAGTAGTCCGGAGAACCGGCAAATACCACCTCTGACTGGAGATTTTACAGGATCCTTCCCTTGCCACGCCCACCAAGCCACGCCCACAGAACCGGTAGTAAAAAAAATTGAATCCCACCACTAGATCAGATGCCTCCTTTTGTTTAAGATTATACTATTCAGTAATAACGATGTGCTCATCTTCTCCCAGGATATTAGGATTGTTGCCTTTAAATAAGCACTATTGGCAGTCAGCGTTTTAGAATAATACCTTTAAAAACTATCCATTTTGTTTCTTCAAAGGTAGAGTTTTGGCATCCATTTTAAAAAGTAACTCCTCTTAAAAAATCTTTATATGACATGAATTTCTGTTTCACCTTGTTAATAATGTCACCCTGTCACCTGTGTGCTCATTTTCACTTATGCTATCATTGCATATAAAAATCTAATGCTATCTACACACTGGATAGTGCTTTCATCACCCTTATAAAAGAGCATAGCTACTTTTTTATGCACTCATTTTCCCTGAAATTCTTAATCCACACTCCAGACACTTTCTTTTAATGTGAATTTTTTTGTCAGACTTGTAGCACCATTCCTTTAAAGAGGGAGAGCTAACACCAGGAAGCGATCCAAGAAAAGGCAGAAAATTATTACCCAAATCATTCAAATAAATTCAAAACTACGATGGTTCCTTTCAGATTTTTCAATGCTGTTTTTTTAAAAGATAAAATTTGTAATTATTTGGGTGGCTAAAACTCTTGTAAATAAATGAATGTTATGCCTCTTCATAAGCATTGTTCTTTATTTTTGCACTGTGCTTATTGCATGTTCCTGTATGTTGTCACTGGAATTTTTGCTTGCAGTTGTCACTAGAGGTCAAAGTTAAAGTGATTTATTTGTTGGCAGACATTTCCTCAGTTTCTATTCCTTCCATTCAGTCAGGATTCAGGTCCATGCATATTTGCCTGGGAATAAATTGAAATTACTATGATTTACATCCAAGTAGATACATGCAGGATTACAAGAGGAGAGCACCTTGGTCTCACTAAAATTAAGATGAAAAGCTTTCTTAATTTTCACTTATTTCCATAGGACTTAAGTATGACTAAGTGTGAGTAAAGGAAGAATGATCAATTCTACTCCAACAATTATGAATCAATGGGCAGGAGGCTAGTAAGGAAAGACACCCATTCCTTTTTTCCATCTTTTCCCAATTCTATTCACTCTTTTTTCCCCTTTCCCTTTAAATATCTTCCTTCCTGTTCATATTATGGTGAAAGATGATAAAAGTCAAGGAGGCAAGGGAGTTAAGGAGAGATACCAATGAGGCCTGGTTTTTCTCTTGGCATCTGTGTCAAAATCTGCATGATTGAACCCCAAACACTTTGATACATGCATCAATGTCATATGTAGAAAAGGGTGGGATTTTTAATCATGATCTCATTCCCATCCTGCAGATTTGGACTTCTTCTATTCCATGGACACTGCTGCTCTTTCATCAATTAACTTAGGACTGGTTTACATAGTCCTTTACTGACTAACTAAAATAACTAATGCGCTGCCCTAAAACAGCCATTCCTAATTTCCGCCCCATTGTATACTTTCCTACACTTTTCAAAGAACACATATCCAGGCATATAGCATCTACAGGCTATTCTTAGTAGTTGACAACTGCTCATCTACAGGAAGTAGTCATTGAAATAAAACTATACCCTTCCATTTTGACCAAGTACTAATTTAGCACTGGCTAAGTAAAAGATTATATTAATTTACTATATCATTAACAGTAACAAAAACTTGAGTTTTAGCTTAATTATACTACATTTCATGATTCTTTGACCCCTCTTCACTGTAAGAAGAAGGTGAAAATATTTGTGAATCAACCTCTGAATCAGGGAAATGTGTACCTACAAAGTGTTTTGTACAATGTTAAGTGTTTAGTTCTCACAACCCCTTTCCTAAAGATGGTGCTGGATGACTGAAGGGTATCGAAATATAATCCAGTGTTTCTCAACCTTGACTCCCTTGCTGGCTGGGGAATTGTAGGAGTTGAAGTCCACACAGCTTAAAGTCGTCAAGGTTGAGAAACATTGAAATATACAATATCTGGGGAAAAAGGAGATTGCCTATCCTTGTCCTACATCCTTCTAAAGTTCCTGTTAGAAGTATCTTGCTTCTTTATTAAAGGAGTTAGAGCAGGGGTCCTCAACCATCGGGCCGCGGACCGGTACCGGGCCGTGGAGCACTCTGTACCGGGCCGCAAAGAATTTTTTTTTTTAAAAAAAATGGCGGCTTTCTTCGCCTTCGGTGAATGCTGCTGGGATCGGAGATCAAGGACACAAATGAAAGAAGGGGAGGGAGGAAGCAACCAAAGCCTGTCCTGCTCTCTGGCTCACCGGCTTCGGTTTCCTCCCGCCTCGTTCCTCTCTCAGTCGCTCTCTCGCTGCTCCACCAGCCCAGGAAGAAACTGCTTCAAAGAAGCCGGGGGGGTGGCTTTTCCTGTCGCCGCAGCTCCTCCGAAGCGCCCGTTTCACCCCCACCCCGCCCGCCCGCGCGCACTTCAATTCAGTGCCCCGTTCTGCCTGCCTGCCTGTCTGCCTTTGTTAATGGTTGATTCGGAACAGCTTCGGCTGAGTAAAAGAGGCGAATAGTTATTATTCTCAGCCGAAGCTGCTCCCAAACAACCAGAAACTAAGGCAGGCAGGCAGGCAGAACGGAGCACTGGGTTGAACCGCGCGCGGGCGGGCGGGGTGGGGGTGAAACGGGCACTTCGGAGGAGCTGCGGCGACAGGAAAAGCCACCCCCCCGGCTTCTTTGAAGCAGTTTCTTCCTGGGCTGGTGGAGCAGCGAGAGAGCGACTGAGAGAGGAACGAGGCGGGAGGAAACCGAAGGCTCCCCCCCCCGGTCCTTGAAAAAGTGTTTCTGCTTGAAACCGGTCCCTGGTACAAAAAAGGTTGGGGACCACTGAGTTAGAGTGAATAATTGAATATGTCGTTCTATTAGAATAATACTGTATTTGTACATTAAAAAAATTATAGCAGTTCCATTGATTGCATCATATGTTGCTTTTTATCATCGTGAAGCATAGTTCTTACAGTTGGTTACTATATACTGCATTTCCTACGTTTTGGAAGAATCCCATATTTTTAACACAAGAGATAAATATGTTGTAGGAACAAGCCACCATGCTGCCTGCTTAACCCACTTCCTAGTCATGGGTTCCAGGAGGTTGCGTCAGAGGAAAAACTATCGCAAAAATTTCCTATGTGGGATAATTCCTATTGCCAAAAATTCCTATCCTGGGATTTGAAATAATATTTATTATTATTAATTTCCTGCTTGATATAGATCACCTGACAAAACACAACTGTCCAAGATAATATATAATATTAATTAAAAATGCAATTATCTTGAGTAACAGGTTCATAAAACTAAACTGCTTTTTTATGCCCTTAAGCATTAGCAACATAATTAACATTAATGCAGAGTTTTTGCTGTACCCATAATACCACAAAATGCTTTCCCACTTTACAGAGATAATATAGAAGTGTACTGTATGGATTTGGCTCTGGATATTTAGACTGTCTGAATAAGTCCAATTGCGAAACCAGCATCAGCTACAAAGCTTTTAGAATGACCTTCTGCATCAGAAAATAACATTTTGGTTAGTTAGCGGAATAGTCAAGATGGGATATGTACATACTGTAAATGTTTCACAGTCCTAGGTGCAACTGAAATGATGGCAGTTTTTGTCATGACAGGTTCCCATGTGTTAAGCAGCAAAGTTTAAAAGCATCTGAAATGTTTGATCATCTTGACTCATGCTCCCATAATGGAAAGACAACCCAGGGACAGGCAGGGCTCTGGATGATGAGATCAGACTCAGTAAATGTGAGTCACAATCCTCAAAGCCATACCTTCCTCGGTCAGGTATTTATCATGGAGAGGACCCAGCACAACTTGCTTTTAATAATAAAAAGTGTTGTCACAGATGTAATGTTGTGTATGTGGGGGTGGAGGTGAGGAATAGGAGGAAAACTTACATTTCAGGAAGATATAATAATTTGACCAAATACTGGCTTTGAATTGCTTATGTCATTCAGTAATGGTCAATGGACAAACTTATTTTTTCTTCTTCTCTGTTGTCTTTGTTGAATAGGATGAAGGTTTATACAGAGTGAGCCTGTGATGATGAGAATATTGTTTCAGTCTAATGTTGCTATGTTCAGCATTGTCCATAAGTGAAACATTGCGTACTCAATTCTGCCATTTTAATTTTCAGAAAGAGAAAGAATATTTAAGGGAGAGGAAGCATAGCCATCAGAATAAAGTTGTGAATTTTTTTTAGAAGCCATCTAAATTTCAGATTATGACAAACTGAGATTACAGCAAATGTTGTTAAAAACAATTTGTGCTTTCCTCCCCCAAATCTGGCCCCAGTCCTTCTGTTTGCAGGACATAAATGCTAGAAGTATTTTTGTCATTGTGTGACTATTACTGAGCAAGGAATAAATAGTTCCCTGGGTTTACAATAATTTGGATGGCAAAATTAGTATGAGCACCAGCTCATATTGCTTCTTGGAATCAGACATGTGTTACATGGGCTGGCCATGTTCTTGTTATGTGGTATTAAGGATGAAATCCTGTGATATTGGAATAAATTGTTTCCTTTGTCCTTGACCTCATCAGGATTTCATTCCAAAACAACTGTTGTCTTGCTTCTGCTTATATATGAAGAGGTATAAAAATGTAATCCTGTTTTGTTCTGTTAGATGAATCTCATTCACGTACTATTTTACTATTTGATGAATTAACCAACTAAGATTTTGATGGTACTAGAAAGCTGAAACCACTGGTATGTTTTCCCACCCACCCACATCCAAGCAATAGTCTACTGCCATTGATGTCACTCTGTGGCTTTCACACTGAGTTCACTATTTTATATAGTAACAGATCCTC